GCCAATTCGGGCCCACCCGCCCGACGCGCCCGTTAGGGTCAACGTGTGCGTCGTCGTCGTCGTCGTCGGGCAGAGCAGGCGAGGACGCACCGAGAGCCGTGTACGGCACGATGTACCAGAAGAAGCGCCGGACCTCGCCCGGCCTGAGGGGGATGCAGAGGCCGAGCGGAAGGGCGCCTCTGTCATGGCGCGGGCTGCGGCTTGGAAGCTGGCCCGGGCGGAGGAGGCAGAGGAAGAGCAGCCGCGGGAGCGGCAGCGGCAATGGGTGGGGGCCTCCAGTGAGGAAGTCCACTGCTTGACGCCTCCGACAGGCCCCCCCAAGTGTATCGCCCGCCCCTTCCCCCAGCAAGACGCCGAACGGAAACAAATAGACAAACAGAGTGCTCCCACCAGGCATCGGTAAATTCCAATTTGACGGACCCGAAGGACCCTCCCACACCGCCCCCCCTCCCCCAGCGGGACGGCCGAAAGTGAAACATCGGAGTGCAAACGGGTAAGTGTCATGACCCCTGGCGGCTCCATGCCATACCTGCCAGATCACGGTGATCATGTGGTTCTGGACAGAGACAAGTCTAATCTAGGCCCAAGCGGGCGTTCCGCCTGAGAGTTCCGCATAATCTGGGCGCTAACAGCGCCGTGTGATACTCCTGGCGGCTCTCCTGTGTGTGGCCCACACGTCAGGCCTGCAACATCGCGGGAATCATGAGACTCTGGGAGAAGACTCGTCTACTGGGCTAAAGAAGGCGCTTCGCCAAGAATTCCCCACAATCTGGGCGCAAACGGGCCCGCGTAATATCCCCCCAGCGGCCCCCCCTTGGCGGCCCAAATGCTGAGTCCTCTACAGATCGGTGATCAAAGGGTCCGGACAAAGCTGCAACGGGCATTTCTCTCCCACAATGGTGGGCGCGAACGTGCCCATGCGATGCCCTCATGGCCCCTTTGGTCGACCCAAATGCCATTCCTGATTCGTCGCGGTGATCATGGAGCTCTGAGAAGAAACATCCCTAATGGGCCAAAAAGGCCGTTTCGCTTGAAAATTCCACACAATCTGAGCGCGAACGGGCCCGTGTGATACTCCCTGGCGGCTCCCTGATAGGTGGCTCACAAATTCAGTGTCTGCTGCACACTGGGCCGAAGAGAGCGCTTCGCTTGAGAGGTCCCCACAATATGCGCGCGAACGGGCCCGTGACATACCCATGGTTGGGAGCCCCAAACGCGATGCTTGCTACATCGCGGTGCTGTATGTGAGTGCGTATGAATTTGAGTGTCTCTGAACATGACAAAGTCTGAGTTGGAGGAGCCCCCCACCGGGAAATCGGTTTCGGTTTCGTGTTCGTGCGTGCCATGCGTGCGGGCGAGGCGAAGCTGCGTGGGCGGGCGAGAGCAAAGTCTCATGTGGCTGGGTCGCGGCCGGACCAAATGATTCTCCCTCTGGCAAGCGGTGGCCCGCGGTGTCCCGCTGGTGTCCCGCCGGTGTCCCGCCGGTGTCCCGCCGGTGTCCCGCCGGTGTCCCGGTGTCCCGCTGGTGCGAAAACGGTAGTGAGACCGACGACGAAATCAATTGTGAGATCGATAGTGAGCTCGATAGTGAGACCGAGAGTGAGATCGATAGTGAGATCGATAGTGAGATGAATAGTGATATCGATTGTGAGATCGAGTGATATCGATAGGGAGATCGATAGTGGGATCGATAGCGAGATCCAGAGTGAGATCGATAGTGAGATCGATCGAGTGAGATCGATAGTGAGATCGATCGAGTGAGATCGATAGTGAGATCGATCGAGTGAGATCGATAGTGGGATCGATGGTCCCAAGAGCGAGCGGCAACGCAACAAATCACCACTGTTGCCCATTGCTGGCCCGCCTCCCCCCCAACCTTCTTACCACGCGCAGGGTGGTCATATAGGTATGAGTGGGTATAAGTGTGAATGGTTATTTGTCTAAGTGAGTCCAAGTATTAGTTGGCCTCAGTTAGGGCGAGCCTTTACGTGGGTGGGACTGTGTGTGGGAGAGCTTGAGGGTGAGTCAGAGTAAGAAAGTCTAAGTGTGACTCTGTGAGTGGGAATGAGTATGACTGCTTCGGGGTGTGGGGTCCAGCCGTGAGTGCGTCTAAGTATGGGTTGGGGAAGGGTGGATGGGGAAGTGAGGAGGTGAGGGGGCGGAGGCGGAAGTGTGGCACCGATGAGAAGAGCCCTGTACTGCCAGCCGTACGAGAGGGAGAGAAACCCATCTGGGATGAGGTGATGAGATACTAGCCCATGTGGACCCCTGGAGGGATTCGGGGATCGATTTTGAAAGGCCGTCGTCGAACGTGTCGAGGTCCGTGTCCTCGCGGTCGGGACACCGCGGCGCCACCCCAGGGATGCGCGATCCCGTGGGCGCGCTCCGCGCGGGGAGCCCGCGCGGAGCCACAGCGTGCACCCACGGAGACGCGGCAGGCGAATCGCCGCGGCCGTGGATGCGGGCACGCGCTTCCCGCCCACGATCGACGGCCTGCCCAGGAAAGCCACGATGTCCCAGGCCTCTGCGGCGGACAGTGGCGCAAAGATCGCGACGTTGAAGAAGGCGGTGTAGAACCTGGGCGGCGGCAGCCCTCTCGCAATAACAACCGCCGACTAGCTGCAAATTGGCGTCCCGCCCCCTCCGCGTCAGCTTACCTGTATCGACGGCAGTGTTGGGCAGGGGGGAAGTACGCATGCAACATTAAAATTGTGCATATCCAGGAGGAGCACAGAGCGTATACGCAAGCACGCGATTGTTCGCCGCAGTGATACCAGTATAAATAAGTACAAACCACTGGCTGTCGCTGTCGCGAGCGGCAACGTCGCTGCCGCCGCTGTCCAAACGCCCTACGATGACTAGCTCCCCGCCGACCCCACCCCACCAAATTTGTATAATTACGTTTGCCTGGGCCCGGGACGTACGGCGGGATCGTGTCGTGACGACTTCGGCGTTGGTCTCTGACACCGTGTCGGTCGTTCAACCTTGGGCGAATCGAGGTCACTGGCGGCGTCCAACCTTGAACGCCCGCGATGGGTCGCCGCATCGTCGGCGCGGCACAATGGTACCGTGCACTTGTTCATCGAGGACCGCGCAAAACACCACGGCGCTGTCCACACCATTGCTTTGAGAGCAATGCGAGAGAATTGTCCTTCACGGCGCCGAGCAGCGATTGGCGCACAACGGAAGGCATAGGCGAGCGAGAGCGTGAGAGGCGCGCAAAAGGCTGGGCACGACGCGCGTTGCTGCAAACGCGATCTAAATGACCTCCGTTTGCTCCAAATCCTCCTCCTCGTCCTCTTCCTCCTCCTCATCATCATTATTAGCATAAGCGTCATCACTACCATCATAACCCCATCATCATCATCATCATCATCATCATCATCATCTTCAGCATCATCATAATCACCGATCAGCAGAAGCATGATCACCATCATCATCACAATCATCATCAGCATCATCATCACCACCATCACCATCATCATCATGATGATGATGATGATGATCATCATCATCATCCTCATCAGCATCATCATCATCATCATCACCATTAGCATCGTCATCATCATCCCCATCCTCATCCTCCTCCACCTCCTCGTCCTCCTCTGCATCCTCCTCCTCATGTCCCGCCTCCTCCTCAACCTCATCTCCTTCTCCTCCTCCTCCTCCTTCTCCTCCTCCTCCTCCTCCTCCTCTTCCTCCTCCTCCTCCCCCTCCTCTCCTTCTCCTCTCATACCCTTAATGCCTGGCTGCAGTGGGCCTCATGAAACCCTATCCAGACCTGCGTCTTTGCAGGAAAACTCCCAAGACATTAAGAGTTAAAAACAGTCGGAGGAAAGAAAAACAGCCGAATGTCAGCATCTCAATTATGATGCCGAATCATCGGGAAGGGCAATCCACAGTATTTGTTTGCCCGACTGGGATTCCTTTCCCCCTTTTCCGCTCGTAATCTATCCAAGGCCCTGCGCCGCAGACGGTTTGGTAGCGTACATGGGTCTTTCAGCAGCTTTGCCTGACGCCTCGATGTTCCCATCGGCCAGGGGACACACCCACGACGATGACGACCACCCCGGGCCCCGCCGACAAGAACGGACGACCCAGAACCGATGGAAACTATGGGCCACGGACGCGGGCCCCGGGACTCCTACACAAGGAAAGCTCCGACCTTTAGCCCTGGACGCCTTCCGAATTCCACACTTGACACACCCCCAAACACGCCCGAGCCGCTCCAGGGAGTGCCCATTGGGAGGCCTCTCGAGCTCCAGCTGAGGGCCATGGACGGGCGCCCGGCGTCCAGGAAGGGCCCATCTGTCGGGCCAGCCCAGGTCCGCATGCTGCTTCAACACCACTCCGCGGAGAAACAAAACAAATCGGCCGCCGCTTCGTGGGCGGCCGCAAACCTGGCCTCGCAGGTTTGAAACTCTCCTGGGGGCCCTTGGGGGTGGAGTCGGGCGCCCAACTTCGCGGCGTGGTCCGCCTTCTTGTTGCCGGTGATGGGCCTTGAGCCAGCATCGAGATGCCCAGGCCCACGTCGTTCACATGGTGCCAGAATTCACGCAACTGTGCGGACGTACTTCGAGCCCGCCGACACGCAATACTGCCCACCACGCTTCGAAAACCGTCGACCACGCCCTTACAGCCACTGACAACGAGGCGCGGGCCAAGATCCTTTCGGACGACGCGCACAACCGCGCACAGGTCGGCATATCCGATATTTCACCAATCATCAATAACAGAACCATACATACCGCCCTGGAGCCCAGCGTCATGAACGACAGATACCGCCGACCAGCCACATCTCGATAACTTCGGGAAGCGCGGGCACGCAGCAGAGCCTCCCACGCACACAATACCCCCAAAAAAACTCTCGCAGCCCCACTCCCGCTCTCAGGCGGGCATCATGCCAGGCAGGAAGCGGGGCCCCATACAGCCCGAGGCCGATAACGCCTATGAATGCCCGCATCGTCAGCATCAGCGAGCCCCCCCGCCACGCGAACTCGTCACAAGTCCCAGGAAGCCACCAGCTGGCATGCACCATCACAGCAGAAGAGCCCGCGGTGCTGCGTGCCGAAGGCGGCGTAGCACCAGTGACACAGCGGGTCGACCGGGGACCGCCCCCTGAAGAAGTCGGGACAAGCAACGGGCCCTCGCCCGTGGCCCAACGGCCCCAGCCCGAAAAAGTCCAGCCCAACCTCCCCAGCGGCGCGAACACGGCGCCAGTCGGGCCGTTAGCTCAGGCCCAAGGAGAGGGGCCGACCTTGCCGCGCATCGCCTCGAAGGCCGCTGGAGTGCGCAGACGCACGCAGGATGCCTTGGCCCAGGCCACCAAGGGCACAGCGTTGCTCGCGTAGGTGAGGCCCCGTCTCCAGCCACCGTCCCCCTTGGTCGCGACCTGGGCCGTCCTGGACCGCTTGTCCGCCTCGCCCGCCATCCGAGCCCGCTGCAGGGCTCCATCAAGGACTCCGCGCACGCGAGCCGCGTGAAGCACTGATGCCAGGCCTCCACCACGAAAGACCTCATCGAGCCTGGCGCCCGCCGTCTTCAAGGCCATGAAGCGCGAGGCACGGGCGCCGAGATTATGCGGCCGACTCTGTCCATGCCGAAGTCGACGATCTGGTTTCTGACCGAGGGGCGCGCGCACCTGGAAGCCCCAAGAGAGCTCCCCGGTGGCGCGCTGCCCACGACAAGGCTGCAGGAGATCACGTTCCCTCCGGCGAAGGGGATCTTGAAACCGATCCCCTCCAGCTCGCCGCGCAGCGACTCCGCGCCCTTAGCGATGGCCAGCTCGATGACCCGGAGCCGCCCATGAACAGCCAGCGTCAAATGGTCGACGCCCACGCACAATTTGACCGACCCCCAGCACTGCAGCAAGTCATCGAGCGGGATCAGCAAGACCACCTGCCGCGCCTTGGTGTAATCGAGTTGGGCCGTGTTCCACCGCTCCTGCGCCTCGCGCGGCGCATCAACCGCAGCGTCGGCCGCAGTGCGAGCCTTGTCCAGCTTCTCCTGCGCATGGGACCACCGCCACATAGCGGTCTGCACAACTGAATAATGAGTATTGGCCCTGGGCACTTGATCTCCAGCACCTTCAGCCTTGGGGGGGACGACCTTGGCCTTCTCGGCCTCGCCGATGCTAACACCGCGCTTCTCGAGCAGTGCGATGGCAGCCCGCAGGTCCTCTTCACCATCCTTGTCCGCAGCCTTCTCAGAGCCTGGAGCACTCATTGTCCTTAGCACCTGGAGCGTTGTCGGCCTTGGAGCCCTTCTTGCCATTACCCTGCTTGCTCTTCGCCGTATCATCAGTACCTTCGGCTTCCTCAGGGCCTGCAGAAGCCGCCAATGCCTTCTCGCGAATGGCCATTGGTGCATGTTTGCCACACTCTAGGCAGGAAAGCCAGCTGGCCAAGTTGTTTACCTCCCCGCAGCTGCAATCCCACAGCGGGCTGCGTGGGCCTGGCAACAACGTCCCGCGCGAACTCGAAGGGGACCGCCACAGCGGAGGAGGCAAGCCCGACCACGGCGCCGAAGCCTCGCGGCGCGCAGAACCGCGAGGGGAGGCTTGCCATCGCGGCGAGAGCCTGTAGAGAATCGGTCCTGAACAGGCTCCTGCTGACGGATCCGTTCTGAATCACGTCAGCAGAAGCTTCCTCGACCGCAGGCTTAGGGGCCAGAACGACGTCGTTCTCCTCCTCCACCTCCTCACCTTCCTCCTCCTCCTCCTCCTCCTCCTCCTCCTCCTCCTCCTCCCCGTCTTGCTCCTCCTACTTCACCTCCTCAACACAGTCATGATCATGATCATCACCATCATCACAACCGCAATCATCATCACCAATATCATCACCATCATCATCACCATCACCATCAGCCGCAACATCATCACCACCACCACCGTCATCGCCATCATCATCATCAGCAGCAGCATCATCAGCATCATCATCATCATCAGCAGCATCATCATCATCATCATCATCATCATCATCATCATCATCAGCGGCAGCATAATCAGCATTGTCATCATCATCATCATCATCATCATCAGCAGCAGCAGCAGCAGCAGCGGCATCATCATCATCATCATCATAATCATAATCATCATGCACAACAACATCATCATCATCATCATCATCATCATCATCATCATCATCGGCGTCATGGGCGTCGTCATCATCATCGTCATCATCATTAGCAGCATCATCATGTCATATTCGGAGTCACCTCCATCACCTTGAGAATAGTCAGGTTCACAAACATCTTCGTGAGCCTCATACTCACTCACATCATTATTATCACGCCCCTGCACGCTCATAATTAGCAATACCATCACGCTCGTCGTCAGCATCATCATCATCATCATCCTCATCATCATCATCATCATCATCATCATAACCAACGCCATCATCACCATCATCAGTCTAGGCATCCTCATCACCATCATGATGATCACCACCATCATACTCATTGCCATCATCACATTCGTTGCCTCCAAGATCATCATCAACATCACCACGAACATCGTATGAACGTGGACAATCCTCATCGGCATCATCATCATCATCAGAATCATCATCAGCATCTTATCTAGCATCATCATCACCAACCTCATCATCACAATCATCATCACCAGCTCCATCCTCATCATCATCCCCCTCCTCCTCCGTTTCCTCCTCCACCTCCTCCTCATCATAACCAGCATGATCAGCATAATAATCATCATCACCAGCATCATCACGATCATGATCATGATTGTCATAATCATATCATCATCAGTTTCACCAAGATCATAATAATACAGGGAGTTTTAAAAAAAAAACAAGCGGTTTAACAAATAATCAAAAAATATGTTGTCGCGTAGAGATCGCAGCCTCGAAGCGGGGTAGATAACAAAACTAGGGTTTTTGGCAGCGACGCGGCATGAAAAAAAACAAGGTTTCGTCTGGGAGTTGTGGCGGGGGGAGATCTAGGCGAAGTTCTGGGGGAAGATCTGGGCGCAGATCTGAGAGGCAAAATCTGGGGAAGATCTGGAGGGTGATCTGGGCGAAGAGATGAAGGAAGATCTGGGCGAAGATCTAAGGGGGCATCAGGGTGAAGATCTGGATGAAAATCTGGCGAGATATCCGAAAGGAGATCCGGGGAAGATCTGGGCGAAGATCCAGCGGGAGATCGGGGCGAATATCTGGAGGAAGATCTGATGGAAGATGTGAGGTAGATTTGAAGGACGATCCGGAGGAAGATCAGAGGGGGGGCTCTGGGGGATGATCTGCAGCATCTGGCGAGATATCTGAGGAATGCGTGGAGGAAGATCTGGGCGAAGATCTTGGGGAAGAAATCCGAAGGGGATCTCGGGGGATATCTCGGCGAAGATTTGAAGGAAGATCTGGGCGAAGATCTGAGAGGATATTGGCGAAGATCTGGAGGAAGATCTGGGGAAGATCTAGATGAAGATCTGGGCGAAGATCTGGTGGGAGATCTGGGGGGAGATCTGGGGGGGAAGATCTGGGGGGAGATCGGGGAAAGACCTGGGCGAAGATCTGGGGTGAGATCTGGGGCAAGATCTGAAGGGGAAGGGTCATCTGGGGGAAGATCTGGGAGAAGATCTGGAGGAAGATCTGGGAGGAAATCCAGGGGAAAATCTGGGGGAGACAACCGAAGGGAGATCTGGGGGAAGATCTGGGGAAGATCTGGGGGAAGATCGGGGGGGGATATCTGGGTAAAGATTTGGGGAAACATCTAAGGGGAAGATCTGGGGAAAGATCCGGGGGAAGATCTGAAGAAGGATCTGGGGGGAAGATCTGGGGGAAGATCTGGGGGAAGATCTTGGGGAAGATCTGGGAGGAAACATCTGGGGGAAGATTTGGGGGAATATCTGGTGGAAGATCTGGGTGAAGATCTGGGAGAAAATCTAGGGGAAAATGTGGGGAAATATCTGGGGGAATATCTGGGAGGAATACGTGGGGGAACATATGAGGGAAGATCAAGGGGGAGATGTGGGGGAAGATCGGGGTGAAGATCCGGGGGAAAATCTGGGGGAAGATCTGGGGGAACATCTGGGGGAAGATCTGGGAGGAAAATCTGGGGGAAAATCTGGGGAAGGATCTTGGGCAAGATCTGGGGGGAGACCTGAAGGGAAATCAGGGGAACGATCTGGGGGAAGATCTGGGGCTGGGGGAAGATCTGGGGGGAGATCTGGGCGAAGATTTGGGGGAAGATCTGGGGGAAGATCTGGGGGAAGATCTGGGGGAAGATCTGGGGAAAGATCTGGGAGGAAGATCTGGGGGAAGATCTGAAGGACAAAACTGCAGGGTCATCTGGGGGAAGATCTGGGGGACGATCTGGATGAAGCTCCGGGGGAAGAGCTGGAGGAAGATCTGGGGGAAGATCTGGGGGAAGATCTGGGGAAGGATCTGGGGGGGGATCTGGGGGAATATCTGAGGGAATATCTGAGGGAGAAAAATGGGAAGATCTAGAGCGAGCTCTGGGGGAAGATGTGGGGGAAAATCTGGGAGGAAGATCTGGGTGAAGATCCGGGGGAAGATCTGGGGGAAGAACTGGGGGAAGATCTAGGGGAAAATCTGGGGGAAGATCTGGGGGAAGATCTGGGGGAAAATCCGGGGGAATATTTTGGGGAATATTTGGGGGAAGATCTGGGGGAAGATCTGGGGGAAGATCTGGGGGGAGATCAGGGGGAAGATCTTGGGGTTGATCTGGGGGAAAGTCTGGGGGAAGATCTGGGAGAAGATCTGGGCGAAGATTTGGGGGAAGATCTGGGGGAAGATCTGGGGGGAGATCTGGGGGCAGATCTGGGGGAAGATCTGGGGGAAGATCTGGGGGAAGATCTGGGGGAAGTTCTGGGGAGGGGTCCGCGGGAAGATCAGCGGGGGAAAACTGGGGGGAAGACGTGGAGGAAGATCTGAAGGAAGATCTGGGTGGGAAGATCTGAAGGAACATCTGGGGCAAATCTGGGGCCAGATCTGGAGGAGCGAGGGGCTAGAGCGTCTAAGATGGCCTAAGAAGGCTCCGAGAGGGCCTACGGGAGCGCAAGATGGCCTCCAAGATGGCCCAAGATACTTCAAGATGGCTCAAGAGAGCCTCCGACGCACATCCAAGAGGCCTCAAAACGGGCCAAAGACGGTTTCAGTGAGAAGAGGGGACCGGGAGGGGAGGGGGAGGGCGAGGACGGGAGGACACCGGCGGCAGCTTAGGAGCGCCGGGCCCCTCGGCATTGCTACGTGCAGCATCGCGCAACAAGAGCACGCCGAGCCCTCCGAGCCCTCCACGGAGCCCCCCCAGAGAAGCCCAAACGGCATTCGGTCCACGACCCAGTCTGGCCGAAGGCCGCTACACACTACGTACCTACAGCAGAGGCCGGCGGAATGAGCGAAACGATTGCATACGTACTGTCACTGCTGCCGCCTCCAGCACGTCCTCCCTCTCCTCCTCCTACTTCCCTAGATTCCGATGATAATCCTTGCGAAATATGGTCATAGGGTCATAGGGGTCATAGGGGTCATAGAAGGTCATAAGGGTCATAGAGGTCGTGGGGTCATATGGGTCGTATGGGTCATAGGGGTCATCGGGGTCATAGGGGTCATCGGGGTCATATGAAGTCACATGGGTCGTACGGGTCATCGGGTCATACGGGTCATATGGGGTCATAGGGGTCACAGGGATCATAGGGATCATAGGGGTCGTAGGCGTCGTAGGGGTCGTAGGTATCATAGGGGTCATAGGGGTCATAGGGTCACAGGGGCTCGTAGGGGTCATAGGGGTCATGGGGGATGGGCCGCGAGGAGCTAGATCATCATCATCATCATCATCATCATCATCATCATCATCATCAGCATCATCAGCAGCATCATCATCAGGATCATCATCATCACCATCATCAGCATCATCACCAGCATCATCATCATCATCATCATCATCATCATCATCAGGATCATCATCATTATCATCATCAACATCATCATAATCATCATCACCATCAGCATCAACAGCATCACCATCATCATCACCATCATCACCATCATTATCAGCATCAGCATCAGCATCAGCATCATCATCATCATCATCAGCATCAGCATCAGCATCAGCATCAGCATCAGCATCAGCATCATCATCATCATCATCATCATCATCGTCATCATCGTCATCATCGTCATCATCGTCATCATCGTCATCATCGTCATCATCGTCATCGTCATCGTCATCATCATCATCATCATCATCATCATCATCATCATCATCATCATCATCATCATCATCAGCATCTGGTGGAGAGATATTGGGAAAGATCTGGGGGCGAAAACCGACGGGAGATCTGGGGGAAGATCTGGGGGGAGATCTAGGGGGGAGATCTGGGGGGGAGATCTGGGAGAAGATCTGGGGGAAGATCTGGGGGATGATCTGGGGGGAAGATCTGGGAGGAAGAACTGGAGGAAGATCTGGGAGCAGATCTGGGGGACGATCTCGGGGAAGATCTGGAGGAAACTCCAGGGGAAAATCTGGAGGAAGATCTGGGGGAAGATCCGGGGGAAGATCTGGGGTGAGATCTGGGAGAAGATCTGGGGGGGAGATCTGGGGGAAGATCTGGGGCGGAGATCTGGATCGAAGATCCGGGACGAAGATCCGGGGAAAGATCCGGCGGAAAATCTGGGGAAGATCAGGGGGGATGATCTGGGAGGAAGATTTGGGGGAAGATCTGGGGGAAAATCTGGGGGGAAGACGTGGAGGAAGATCTGAAGGAACACCTGGGGGAAGATCTTGGAGGAAGATTTGGGGGAAGATCTGGGAGATGATCTGGGGGAAGATCTGCGGGAAGATCTGGGGGGAGATCTGGGGGAAGATCTGGGGGGAGATCTGGGGGCAGATCTGGGCGGAGATCTAGGGGAAGATCTGGGGAAGATCTGGAGGAAGATCGGGGGGGGGAGATCTGGGAGGAAGATCTGGGAGAAAATCTAGGAAAAGATCTGAGGGAAGAGCTGGGGGAAGATCTGGAGGAAGATCCGGGGGGGGATCTGGGGGAAGATCTGGCAGAAGATCTGAAGGAAAATCTGGAGGAAAATCTGGGGCAAGATCTGGGGGAAAATCTGGAGGAAGATGTGGAGGAAGATCAGGGGAGAGATCTGGGGGAAGATCTGGAAAAAGATCTAAGGCAAGTTCTGGCAGAAGGTCTAAGGGAAGGTCTGGGGGAAGATCTGGGCGCATATCTCGGGAAATCTGGGGGGAGATCTGGTGGAAGATCTGGAAGAAAATCCGGAGGAAAATCTGGGGAAATATCGCCGTGACCATTGTTAAGCTTACGTTTCCGAAAATCACTCGCGCGATGACGGCAGAGCATGAAATAACACAAAGAAATTCAAACATATAATTTTAGAATAGATCCGCGAGGCTGAGTGAAAACGAAAACGGAAAAGGCGCGCCGCGCGCAATGCGAAGACGCCGTGAACAAAAAACGGTCGCAAACAACAAAACACGGCCACCCTTCTCGCGCACATACAACACGCGAACAAAACGCACGGCTCGTGCCCGCGCGAGAACAAAACACCAAACACAACATAGGCCTCATTCCCCAAACGGGCAGGCCCGCGCCTACTGTGTGGAGTCCGCGCAAAATGTGTTCCCGAACGCGCTTAGAACGAAAAACAAAAAGAAAACGAAAACACATGAAAAAAACAAGTAAGCAGTGTTTAGCTTGAGCCCTGTGAAGAAGATCTGAGCAAGATCTGAGGAAGATCTGGAGGAGATCTGAGGAAGAACTGAGGGGAAGATCTAGGTGAAGATCTGCAGGGAGATCAAGGCAAGGGAAACAGCTGGGGGAAGATCTGGGTGAAGATCTGGAGGAGAAGTCGGAGGAATATCTGGGGGAAGATCACCGTGGCCATTTTAAAAACTAGTTTCTCGAATATCACTCGCGCGATGACGACACGGCATGAAACAAAACAAAGAATTTTAAACATATGGCTTTAGAGTATGCCGACCTAGTTGTTTGGGTTTAACTCCCTGTGGGAATAATAATATTCGCCGGCCCAACGGGCCAGGGCGTGCTAAGATCTCCGGTACCTGGTTAACAGTATTTCTAGTTCGCGCGCGCGGGGCGGCCCCTGGGGGTCCCCGGACGAAAAGTACCCCGGCAAGGTCCCGGCAAGTCCCCGGCAAGGTCCCGGCAAGGTCGGGCCAGAGATGCCGGAGTTCTGTTTCGGAGTCCAAGAGGGCTCCAGATCGGTCCAAGAGGGCCCCGAGAAGCTTTCTAGACGGTCCAAGAGAGGCCCGAGACGGCCAAAGATCGCCCGAAGACGCCCCAGATGGCCCCAAGACAGCCCAAGAGGCCTCCAAGACGCTCCAAGGGCCTTCCAAGAGGCCTCCGAAGAGGGCCCCAAGTTGCCAAAATCGTTGATTTTCATTGTTTTTTCGATGTTTTTTTGCGTTCTGGCCTTTTCGCTTCCGGACGCTCCAAGAGGGCCCAAGAGGCCTTCAAGACTGCTCCAAGACGGCCCACGAGGCTCCCAAGACGGCCCCGGAGCGGCCCAAGAGCGCCCCCCAGACGGCCCAAGTGCTGCCCAAGGCGGACCAAGAGGCCCCAAGACGGGCCCAAGAGGGGCTCAAGAAGGGAACCGAGAACTGAAAAATCGAGCCCTCCGCCCCAGAAGGCGCCCAGGACCCCGAAAGAGGCCCCAAGAGACTCTCCAAGACACCCCCAAGACGCCCCAATAAGCTCCCGTGAGGCCCCAAGAGGACCAACAACGTCAGGCCCCAGGCCCCAAGAGGACCAACAAATACCGCCAAGAGCCCGCCGAAAGCCCCCCAAGAGACCGTCACGAGAGCTCAGGAGGCCCCCTGGAGGCCTCCCGAGTTCTCCAAGAGGCCTAAAAAGAGGCGCCAAGAGGCCCCAAACGGCCCCACCGAGGCTCCAAGAGGCCACGAACGCGCAAGCAAACGCCTGCGATGGCACAATACGGGCCGGCGGAATGAGCGAAGCGATTAAATAATAGTAATGAGAAGAATAATAATGACAATAAAAATCAGAATCCTCATCATCTTGATGATCAGCATCATCATCATCATCAACAACAGCAGCAGCATCATCATGATCATCATCATGATCATCATCATGTTCATCATGATCATCATGATCATCATCATCATCATCATCATCATCATCATCATCATCATCATCATCATCACCATCACCATCATCACCATCATCACCATCATCAGCATCAACATCAGCATCATCATCATCATCGTCATCATCATCACCAGCATCATCATCATCAGCATCATCATCAGCATCAGCATAAGCATCAGCATCATCATCATCATCATCATCATCAGCATCAGCATCAGCATCAGCATCAGCATCATCAGCATCAGCATCAGCATCAGCATGAGCATCAGCATCAGCGTCATCATCATCATCATCATCATCATCATCATCATCATCATCATCATCATCTGGTGGAGAGATATTGGGAAAGATCTGGGGGCGAAAACCGACGGGAGATCTGGGGGAAGATCTGGGGGGAGATCAAGGGGGGAGATCTGGGGGGGAGATCTGGGAGAAGATCTGGGGGAAGATCTGGGGGATGATCTGGGGGGAAGATCTGGGAGGAAGAACTGGAGGAAGATCTGGGAGCAGATCTGGGGGACGATCTCGGGGAAGATCTGGAGGAAACTCCAGGGGAACATCTGGAGGAAGATCTGGGGGAAGATCCGGGGGAAGATCTGGGGTGAGATCTGGGAAAAGATCTGGGGGGGAGATCTGGGGGAAGATCTGGCGCCGGAGATCTGGATCGAAGATCCGGGACAAGATCCGGGGAAAGATCTGGGGGAACATCTGGGGAAGATCAGGGGGGATGATCTGGGGGAAGATTTTTGGGGAAGACGTGGAGGAAGATCTGAAGGAAGATCTGGGAGGAAGATCTGGGGGAAGATCTGGGAGATGATCTGGGTGAAGATCTGCGGGAAGATCTGGGGGGATGATCTGGGGGAAGATCTGGGGGGAGACCTGGGGGAAGATCTGGGCGAAGATCTAGGGGAAAATCTGGGGGAAGATCTGGAGGAAGATCGGGGGGGGAAGATCTGGGAGGAAGATCTGGGAAAAGATCTAAGAAAAGATCTGAGGGAAGAGCTCGGGGAAGATCTGGAGGAAGATCCGGGGGGGGATCTGGGGGAAGATCTGGCAGGAGATCTGAAGGAAAATCTGGAGGAACATCTGGGGGAAAATCTGGGGGGAAATCTGGAGGAAAATGCGGAGGAGGAAGATCAGGGGGGAGATCTGGGGGAAGATCTGGAGAAAGATCTAAGGCAAGTTCTGACAGAAGGTCTAGGGGAAGGTCTGGGGGAAGATCTGGGCGCAGATCTCGGGAAATCTGGGGGGAGATCTGGTGGAAGATCTGGAAGAAAATCCGGAGGAAAATCTGGGGAAATATCTCCGTGACCATTGTTGATCTTACGTTTCCGAAAATCACTCGCGCGATGACGGCAGAGCATGAAACAAAACAAAGAAATTCAAACATATGTGTGGATGGGCTCCTGTTTCCTCGAGGCCTCTCGGACATCTTAGAGGGTAACGTACTTTGGGAACATGAGACTGATCGGATCCTTTTTCAGTACCCAGCGCGCAAGCTCCTGAAAGGGGGCCGCCAGGCCCCCTTTCCCTGAACCGAAACGGCAGTACAGGAAAAGGGTTCAGGGGTTCTGGGCTAGGCTGTACAGGCAACTAGAAGGCCCAAGGTGGCTTCTTGGGGGTCCGCGGGCCTCTGGGATCACACTGGCGGCGCTCTACTGCTCAGAACCCGCGCAACTCCTCGACCTCATTCCCGCCTGGTTCAAGCGGCTAGCCTCGGGCCTCTCTCGGAAGATCTGCTGGGTCTCCCTGAGGCGTTTGTAGGCTTCGGGCTCGTAGTTGAGATCGTCCACGTTGCTGGTGGCACCTAAAGTGCCCGTGCAGTCCATCTCGTAGAGGTGGAGTCCAGAGAAGCAGCAGTTGGTCACGGCGAAATTGGCTGGCTCCTTTTTTCTGGCGTCGAACTCTGTCCTCGTGCCGTCGGCGAAGCACGATGCTGTCTGCGGTGATGCCGTATTCTCCGTCATGTAGAGCTTGTCGTAGTAGGGCGCTCTCGCCCATACGCTTGGTGAGTGGATCGGTGAGCTGGCTGGTGCCCTCGATCCACCGAAGGTGAACTTCTGGTCGTTGCATGGTTGCTCGAACGATGGCTACGTCGATGGCGGCGCGCTTGTCCTCGGCCAAGCCTGCCTTGGGATTGGTCACGTGGTCGTAGCCGCCTCTGGAGTCGGTGACGCTGATCACTGGAAACTTAGATGCTGGCATGTAGGGTCTCATCAGGTCGAACTCGCTGTCCATAATCTCGAGCAACATGGTGCGAATGAGCTCTCCTTTTCGCCATTCCCTCTGAAATCGCCAGCGTCTCGGTACCGAACTGGTGAGCACACTTCCTCTTAAGTTTGTGACTCTTCCAGGACTGGATCGAGATGATGGCGGGCTCACCTTTGAGTAGCTTGCGCTGTGTGGCGAACACGATGTATCCAGCCTGCGAAGCTCCATCTCTGGCATTTGCCCAGGCCGCGTCATTGAAAACTGCAAAAGCCATCTCGTGAAATGGGATGTGCTTGATCTTGAGAACCACCGAGCTGAATTCCTCGGTCAGCCTGCCGATGCGGTTCGCCTCCAGCAAGTCGTCCACGACCAGGTTGGGCATCTTTCCTTGGAGTAGGGGCACTGGGCCAGATAGATCGGGCCTGCTTTCACGGGCCAGAAACGAAATTGAACCGCACAAGCTTCGTGCTTGGTGGAGTTCTTCAGGTGTAACTGCAGAATGAGGCTCTTTACGACGTTCAGTGGCTATGTTGATTAGCTGGATGCTGCTCAAACTGAAGCTTTGTGATATCGTGATCTCGGTGTTGTCCTCGTTCTGCTGTAGCTCCTTGCCGGTGTACTTCCCGCTCTTGTGGCGCCACCTCCGAAAAGAAACCTTTCTCGTAGCTTCTGACAGGCAGTGTCGAATAGAACGTCTCCACCACCCACGATGTCGTCCACAGTGAGGCCCATGGCGCCGTGAAGTCCCTTCTCGTCTCTCAAGTAGAAGACGCAGCTGTCGAAGATAAAGCACTGGAAGCCGATCACCCTGGCGTACTTGGTGAAAGCTGATAGCCAGTGTAGTGGAGCATCGCCTAGGCCATACACTGCCTTGAGTAACTCCACCAGCGAACTGTCCTCCACATCAGGAATCCCAGTGCGAGGTAGCTCCACATAAAGACTGCCTCGAGATCGACCGAGTGGATCTCCAGCGGTAAAAGCCGAAGTGATGTCCGCTAGCTGCAAGGTCCACTTGTTAGAGCACAGGATCTGCAAGATCAGGAACACGGAGTCCTTGCCGACGACTGGGCTGTAGGTCTCGAGATCGAGCAGGTCGGGGTCGGTGTGTCCTTGAACGGTCCAGCGAGCCTTTGCCATCCTCCAAGTGCCGTCGCCCATGAACATCAACTGCCGCTTGCTAGCGTCGACCTCATCAGGATTGCCGCCCTTGTCGGTGAGCACCCAGCGAGAGCCCATGATCCTGGAAGCTCGATCGGGATCTTGACGTACTGTATCGGTTTCAGCAAGTGAAAGTAGTCGAATTGCTTGTGCATTCTTGATGTTGCCCCACTCTCTGCGCTTAGCTGCGATGTAGGGCTGGTACTTGTAGGTGTTCAGAAGCGACTTCTCGGTGATCTCCTCACGAAGTCGTTGATTGGTGTTGGTGAGCATGGCTGAGCTGACGACTGATGCCTTCACTTTCTTGACCTTCTTCTTGGGTGGTGCCTCCGCCTCCTTGTTGATCTTCTCTTCGATGACGACAATCCGCTCGCTGACTGGTGTGGCTGAGGTCGGATTGTCGACGTTCTACTTGATCGTAAACGGCACGTCGTCTAGATGATCGCAGTACTTGGTGGCCATGGGAATCAGCTCTGGGTTGACATCCGCGCCCTTCTCGATCTCTGTGATGGGCGGCTGTGAGGCTGCTCCTTGATCATCCGCAGCCGGCTCTGGTGGAACAACGTGAGGCACTTCAAGATCGTCTGGTGGCTGATCTTGTCGAGTGAGGCCTTCGCATTTACGACGTCCTCTGTTCTCGGTGTTCAGCTCCTCCTTCGTGGTGTTGTCGATCTGCCCCCAGGCTGCGACCTCGGCCTCGTTAGCATGTCGAAGCTGTTCAGGTGAGCACTTGAGTAGACCTCCCTGATATGAGCACCACACTGTACTAGGAAGCTCTACCTTGATGACACGTGCAGGTCCATGCCAGGAACTGGTCGGCAGCTTGTCAGTACTGCTTCGCCAGACATAACACCGATCTCCTGGCTGAAAAGTGGTGCCCCTCGTAGGTCTCGTCCTCCTCTGAAGCGCCCGTCTCCACTTCTCTGAACACTCGGCCTCGATGTAGGCAGCCATGGCGGCCTTGCGCATGTCGATGCTCCTGGCCAACTCGGTGTCACCGTTCATCGCTCTGGAGACCGTTGACAAACTTGGTGGCCCTTCTTCTAAGATCTTCTCAGGAAGTCGAAATGGTCGTCCGAAAATTCTCTGATAAGGTGTAAAGCCTCCTCTGCGAACGCTTTCGCCCATCGCCACGTTGACCGCATCCACGAGCTCGTAGAAGTCCTCCCAGTTGTTGGTGTTGAACTTCTGCCTGGTTCGGTAGAAGGTCTCCTTCCAGGTGCCTCCAGCGCGTTCGGTCTTGCCCGCCTGCCACGGTGAAGTAGCGCTCGTCACCTTGATCTCGGAACCATCTCCTTCAGCAGCTTCTGGCAACTCACCTGCAGAGAAGCCTTTCTCGCCATCAGTGACTATCATGCGTGGCACCCAGTAGACACGCTTCCAGAATGCGCGGTAATGACGTCGTATCTGAAGGCCATGTCGACTCGGTAGAGGTATCGCAACTTGATGTCCAGTACCGTGGCAGACTAGGTTCAGCATGGGCACCTTGGTGGTGCTCTCGGGTCCCAACACGAAGAAGATGCCCATGCCGATGACATCGCTGAACTGGTAGGTAGTCGGAGCTTTGGGGGGCTTCGCGAGCTTCGGCCTCTTGTTCGCCTCGCAGCTCGGGCACTCGAGCTTCTGCGCCGCCTCAATGAAGGCCTGTCTGGCCTTGCCGTACTTCAGCACCATGACCAGGTTCTCGTTGCTGCAGTGGCCCATGTTCTCATGGATCTTGTGAACCTGCTGCTTGACGTGAGGGTCCGTGCTCTTCTCGTCTTTTGGTGCCGTTGTTGGTGTCGTAGGTGCCGCGCAGCATGCTGTACACTTGACCTCGGTGTGTTGGGAGGGCATGGGTGCTTGCGACCCATTATTATGGTCGCTCTGCTCCTCGATCTGCTTCCCGAGCTCCTTCGTGGTCTTCATCTTGATGATCGTCCGAACTAGCGCCCCAACCAGCTCCTGTAGGGAGTCGTCAATGTCCCCGAGGGCGGTGTGAGGTGGTCGATTCACGAACTCCTGGCTCAACAACTTGGCGTGCTCGGTGGCCTCATTGGGTAGATTGGAGAAGTACTTGCGGCCCTTCCGAAGCGCTCCGTCCTCGCCGATGTCGGGTAGACGCTTGAGCTTCTTGATGGGGGGATCCTCCCAGTCCCTGGAGTTCATGTCCTGCTCGTAGTAGAAGTGCCTGCCGTTGGCGGCCTGCTTGATCGCCACGTCTGAGATGAACGTCAGCATCTCCTTGCCGATCTTCTCCTTTAACTTGGTGTTGTAGATGTCCTTCGGAGGCTTGGTAACTACCACGAGATGTGCTGAGTGTTGAAGCTTGCTCCACACTTCTCGCTGTCCCATCCTCGTCAGCAGATGGGAGCCCATGAGCGCCACGATCTCCTTGTTGGTCAAGCTTCTTTCCGCTCGATCGCCCTCCTTGAGGTGGGCTCGAAGTTGAGGTTGACCTGATTCATGAAGGCGCTGCTCTCGGGGATCGCGGCCTCCACTGCCTGAGCCAGGTCCTCGAAGTCGCTGATCTGCTGAATGGACTTGTTGATCATGCTGTTCTGCTTGTCGCTGAGCTTCTCTAGCAGTCGCTGATGTCGGCTCCGAGGTGTTCGCGGAGGTTCTCCACCAGCTGATTGGTCGTCGCGTTGGCGTTCTCGTCCTGAAGTAGCTCGCGCAGCGCTGTCAAGGCCTTGCTCCGTGGGGACTCGCCCAGCTGCTCCCAGTCCTCGGTCTCCTCCTCCAGCTCGTCCTTCTGACACCGGTTGTCCTGGTGCTTCTGATTGGTCCTGGAAGTGGTCCTCGGGCTTGTCGATGCCGTCCCGCTGGTCGCTGTTGGTCTCGTCTCGGTCTCCTCCTTCTTCTTGCTGCTGGTCTTGGTCGTTCTGGGCTTCCATCCCTTGATCCTCGCCTCCTCGTCCTTGAAGTCGTTGAGCACGTTGATGACCTTCATCATCCCTGGAGCTGACTGTGGGTAGTACTCGAGGTGCATCTTGCAGCCGCAGCACTGCACCCAGAACGCTCGACCGTTGCCGCCGTGGCCCGTGAACTCGTGAACGCACGCCGTCTCTCGAGCTGGATCGTGATCTCGAGCCTGCCTCGGGTTGCCCCTTGGTGGACAGGGGCCCTGGTTGGGGATGTCCAAGAACCTGCAGATCATTGCTCCCGTTGGCGGTCTCGGTTGGTTGTCTATCTCGTGCCACGGCCACTGAAAAACCTTCCCCCTCTCTGGGTTGTCCCTCACCTTCGGGTCCTTCTGGGGATTCACAAGCCTCGCCGCGGCCTCTGTGGCCCCCGCCTGACCCGCAGTCGTTGGTGGCCTCCGCGATGATGAAGGCTGCGAGCGCCGAGTAGAGGTACTTGGGCGCCCGTCGCATGACATGGATATATGGAGAAATACTGGTTGAAGAGATTCTTGGAGAACCCGTCCGTGAAATCTGACTCGAGCCGAACCAGCTTTTGGGGGTCGCACGCGGTTTATCTCGCAGTTTACGTTTGAGAACCTCAGCCACTATGTCATTGCACTTGTTGCTCTCTTTGCTTGGCTTGTCGTAGTTGCTTTCTTCTCTGACGCTGTTGTGCTTGCCGTTGCTCTCGTCTAGCTCGTTGCCGTGCTCTTGTACTCTATCCTCCTGACGTCGTGCTCCTCCAACTCCCCTTAGTGCTCGTGCTAGTGCTGCTATTATGTGTCGAGTGCTCGTCCCACGATCTTCTCTTACCCGTTGTTCAGGTTGTTCTGAAACCGCCGTAGTGCCCAAGGCGCCCGAGAAGTAGCAGCTTCCGATCTTCTGGGGCCTGTCGAAGTCTTTGGGGCCAGACGTAGATGATAGATGGATGTGCTCCGAGCTCGTTCCGAAGTCCATCGAAACCTCCCTCGAGCACAGAGTCCAGCTCTCAGGCTTCTTCCACGGGCGCGCGAAGTTGTCGAGCTGCACCAGGAAGTGCTCACCTCCAGCGCGGGCCAGAGGAAGTCTGACGTTCTGCTCTGGCAGGTCCAACTCCGACTGGAACGCGTGTAGTGACGCCTTCAGCTCCACGACGAACGTCTTGGAGAGCAGTAGCGGCGCCGCGCCCTTGACCAGGCACACGAAGATCACCCCGCTGAAGTGGCCCAGCATGATCGGAATGAACACGCCCTCCGTCGCCGTGCAGACCTGGTCGTTCCCGAACCTGTACTTCTTGTGGTAGGGCACCGTCTCCAGTGTGATGCTGTGCACGTCCTTGTAGTGCTTGGCCCAGGCGTCGAAGGTGGCCAGGCCCATCATGTTGAAGCCGCATGCCGTGTCGACCGCACCCCAGCCTGGTCTGCCAGACTTCTCGATGTCGATCGCCAGCGTGACGTGCTCCACCATGTTGGATCTCGCCGCCATCTTCGCCTCCGTCGCCACGTAGCTGCACACCTCGTCGTCCTGGAGCACCGTCATCGCGAAGAAGCCGCCCGTCGCCCTGACCTTGTTCTTCGGATTGTCGGGGCACTCCTTGTGCCAGTGAACCAGCTTCTTGCAGATGCCGCACTTCGTCCTCTTCTTGATGTCTTCTATCTTCTCCTCGGTCCTTTTTCTGTCCTTGATGTTGTGGAACCCTCTGTTCGTCTTCTTGTCGGCTACGATCTTCCGAGCTTCACCCCATGTCCTGGGCTTTGGCGGTGGCCCGACCAGCGCCGCCAAGCAGTCCAGCGCCTCGGCCCCCGTGAGAGCCTCGCCGTTCTCGAGCTTGTCGTCTGGCTCCTTGTCGTCGTCTATGCCCAGCAGGTTCGCCATCGCGTCGTAGATGGGGTTGTCCTCGTCCTCGCCTTCAGTAGCCTCCTGCGGCTCCTCTTCCGTAACTCCCGCCAAGTAGGCAGCCGTTCTGGTAGTCGAAGTCTTCTCCGTGACCGTGTGGTCGTCCGTCATGCGCTTCAGGATCGCTACCAGCTTGTTCACGCCGTAGTCGTAGCCCGTCTGGCTGGGCACTTGGTTGCGCTCCGTCTTGGCCATGCCGGCCCCTCGAAGCAGCAGGAAGCCCATGACCGTCTCGTTGAGCGCGTTCGGTAGCAGCCTGACCAGCTCCTTCTGTTCCGAGTGGATCCTGTTCGTGAACTTCATGAGCGTCTCGTCTCGCGCTCTCGGTGCTGCGAACAGCGTCTTCTCGAGCTGCTGAAACGTCTCGGCGTCCGCCTCTGGGAAGGCCAGCGTGTCCAGCGCCATGATCACCGTCTGCAGACCTCCAGCGAACTGCACACTTCCTGGTCGAAGATGTCTCGTCGCCGTCGCCGCTTCCCTCGTCAGGTGCAGCAGCAGCGTCTCGCCCTGCTCCTCAGGTGGGACCGCCGTAAGTCGGCTCCACCTGTCTATGGCCAACCTCTTCTCGGGCCACTCGCTGAAATCCTTTCCGTCCCAGGCTGGACACGGTGGATTTTTTCCTCTGCGTCCTCCTGGTGGTCGTCGTCCTCCGTCTTGGTCTTCGTCCAGTTCAAGTCGTCCTCGATGGAAGCCTACCGCCTTCTTGACCTGCTCTGGCGTGCCGAAACCTTTCGATCGTGATGATCTGTCTGACTGTGTGTCTTCGTGCTCGTATCTGTCGTGCTCGTACCTGTCGTTCTCGGGCCAGTAGTCATCATTATAGCCGTCGCTTGCCCACTGCCAAGCTCCCCAATCGGCTTCTCGATGTTTGGTCCATGAACTCCTAGGGTCACACGAGCTGCTCTGCCGCGTACTGTTCTGAATCCGATTGTTGTCGCCCCCGTTGTCGTCATCCACGATTTCCCATCTCTGCTTGCTGTCGTGACCGCTGTCGTTGCCGTCGCTCCGCTTACCACATGTGGATGGGCTCCTGGTTCCTCGAGGCCTCTCGGACATCTTACAGTGTAACGTATTTTGGGAACATGAGACTGATCGGATCCTTTTCAGTACCCAGCGCGCAAGCTCCTGAAAGGGGGCCGCCAGGCCCCCTTTCCCTGAACCGAAACAGCAGTACAGGAAAAAGGGGTTCAGGGGTTTTGGGCTAGGCCGTACAGGCAACTAGAGGGCCCAAGGTGGCTTCTTGGGGGTCCGCGGGCCTCTAGAATCACACCTGCGATGAAAAACCGGTGCCGGGGAAGGCGTCTAGACCTCCAGGGGCACACCGTGCAAAACAATCACGACGTCGGAGTTCTGGAGCAGCGATCGAAAACGGGTCCCACGCGAGACGACGTAGCGACCTCACGCGGTGGCTTACGCGAGCCGCCCGCGCGGCACGCTGCACTGGAAACGAGGGCGCTTTCGCGCGACCTTACGCGGGGCAGCTTGCGCGCCAATGTCGGCGAAGACGACCCCCTTTTCTTGGTCGCCCATCTGAGTTTTTTAATTCTGGCGTTCTTTCATCGCGTGTAGCCGTCGGGGGCCGTTTTCGTGCCCTGGGGCCATGAGGAGTGGATCTGGGACGCAAAGCTTGTCGTCGCTCGGACCGTTCGGTTTCGTGCGTGTTTGTTTCTTTTGTTTTTTGTGTTCCTCCTCCCCTCGATGAGCCAGGATGCGCCTCAATGGTGCTCACCGCGGCAAAAAGACAACACGTCCGAGCGACGCCAAGAGAACTACCCCCAGGGAAGGGGTCGGGACCTCTGGAGCCGCGGACGGAACAAGAACGCACCGGTGGATGTCGGGGGTCGGGGGTAGGCCAGCTCCGGGAGGGGGGGGGCCCATCGACGTGCAGTCGGCGATACATGGCCGGCAGATCGGCGACAGGCCTCCGACAGCGAATCCGCACGTGCCCAGGCGGGGCAGGCTGTCGGGCCCCCTTGGGGGGCGATGGATCGGCGCTGCGCGGTCTGCGCACCCCTCCCCGGAGCCTATCCCGCTGGCGCTGCCCCTGAGACCTCGCCCGTCCCGTACGCGATGGTGATCTGGTCACGTGGTTCACCCATCGGAACTGGGGTGCCATCGTGATCTACGTCCTGTGCGGTCAGGAGCTGTTGCTCGGCTGCTCAGGGTGTCGCGGCAGCGGCCCTGGCGACACACCATCCCTGAGATCCGACGTGGCGAAAAAATGGCAACATCGTGAAAATCCGCGCCCGGAGCCCTGGATCCCATCTTTCTGCCTCACTTTTCGAGCCGGATCGACCTGTGAGGGTCCCGGGACGCTAAAAAAGGCGACAACGCCCGGCTCGGAAAAATTGCGTCGCCGGGATCTGAGGGATGCCCTGCGAGCGGACAGGTGTCGCTCCGCCTCGCGGGGCGAGAGGCTTCGGAATGCTCAGGACGCGTCAGGACGTGGCCAGCGTGTCGCGACCAAAAATGGTGGGCCAGAATCGGCGGCGCGACACGCTGAGCACAAGCTTTAGGTCGGGCGTGTCCTCCTGCAGGGGGATTTGCAAGGCGAAATGAGAAATAGTCAAAAAATACGACGACACAATAATCAAAACATGCTAGTCAAAATCGTACCCATACTATTTTTTGATTATGTTTGAACTTCCCTCCTGTAGAGGGACACGCCCGACTTAACACAAGCTCCTGACCGCAGGGGGGCAAAACAAGAACACGCTGCATGGACACGGACTCTTCCGAGGTCCGCGCGGCTCTCTTGGATTCGCGCTGGTCAGAGCAGGGCGAGTTGAGGCGACGGCAGCTCAACATGGGTCCC